TCTTCTAAGGCTGCAAGGTCCAGGTCAAATTGGATAAAAACTTTTAAAACATTACAAGGGTGTGGTTGCTTTCAATAAGCTTCTTGCTCAGTTGAGATGTTATTTAGCTGCCAAGGAGGAAGCCTTATGGTTATTTTCAAAAAAAGGCCAGTTTTTAAGGCTTTTTTTTTTTTTTTTAATATTCATTTTCATTTAAAATCCCCTGTCCCATTACACTATTGACAAGCATTTTCATTTTATTTTGTGTGAAAGACCACCTAACACCACACACCACTTCTCAGTAAGCGGAAACAGACGTTACCCTGTATTATTCACACCCTTGTGAGAAAAGAATGTAGCCCCTTCTGAAGGGTCCTGGCTCACTTCCAGCTAGGATCTGTTGTAATCCACAGTACAGGGAAACAAATAAGTTTGGATTTTGATTTCTTTGTTCGTTTGGGGGGTTGAGAAGCAGCTACATGCCACTAAGTTTGAGAGCTGAATCCAGAGATGAATCCACAGCTGGAGCAGAAATTTTCAGCTTTGGTAGCACTGTACATTTAGAACCACACAAGGCCTGCCTGGAGCTCTTCCACCCTTTGCTCACCAGCATTCACATTAGGATGCCTGAAGGCCCTTTGCCGTAACAGGTTAAGAACTGCCATCTGAGTGCTTGCCACAAGCATCCATTAGTGAGAGCTCCTTGAATAGAAAATAGCATTCCCGATTGTTCTGTCTCACATCCCTGTGTTATTTCATTTAATCACTTTCTCCCAAGGTTCATCTTCGCATTTAGCTCTGGAACTCCATCTACGTTTTGCCTGAGACAAGGTGGGATCTTTTGATTGGACTGCATTAACCCAAGTACAAGAGTCTGCTCCTCTGAGACTTTTGCAAAGTTTTCTAGCTAGGATTTGAAATTCCCTATCACTTTCATTTTGCAAACTGTCTTCAGTTTACAACCTGAGAGTCAATCCTGAAATAATCCCTCTTAGAGAACTCTGGAATTGCTGAATTTTGCTCACCAGCCATCACCACCAGAAGGCAGCTTTTACAAACTCTTCAACATCCCAGACATCAAGACTTTCTTTCTCTGCATTCGTTGGATCCATTTGGGATCGAGTCTGTGGTCTAGGCAGTTAATTAGGCACAAATTCTCTACAGTTCAACATATCAAGTGCTCTGTGAATTGCCCAGAGGGCACATGATTGGTAATGGTCCTCCAGCCATCATGTGTGGTTGATTTGTTGGAATGCCTCTCTGAAATAAAATGCCATACATTTTGTGCTCTTAGCCTTGAATAATCAACGGGGAGCACTGCTCAACATTAAGCAGTCAGTCTCAATTTGTCTATGCTAGATAGTGATAAAAAACCCCACAATTCCACAGAGGATAATTCTTCTCAAATAATTCAGAGGTACAGAATTAACTGATGTGTGGACACAAAGGTAAAAAATGTCATTTTCCACTACATTCCCTGTTAGTTCCTACAAAGGATGAGAAAAGCACTAAAAATAGTAATTAGTATAATTCAGAACAGCAGTCAGAATATATATATATATATATTTTTTTTTTTTTTTACTCTTCCTTTATAGTATGTCCAAAGGGGTGGCATGTCACTATAGGTATCAGCATTTTGTTATCATCTGATGTAAAAAAGGCTTTTGCAAATGCAAATTGCAAGAGCTGCACTCCTGCCTCCCTCCCCAGCATCAATAGGTAGGAGCATAGCACAGCACAAGGCTGCTGCTCACCTCCCTGGTACCTGGGGAGGAGGGAACTATCCCATTGATTCCTACAGCTGTTTTACAGGGCAGGGTGTTACTGCCACCAGCCCTCACTCTGCCATCCCCTGATCCTTTCCCATCCTATGGCATTTTGGATGTGACTTTATTATAAAAAATAAGTTAATTCATCTCCTAGAGGTGCCCAACCAACCATATGATATTCCAAAAATGCCCAACACAACAACACTAGGAGTTGTTTTAAAAAGTGATAGCAGGCGGCACACCAGCACGTCCTTGGCTCATTTAAATATATACGTATATCAAGCCATTCAGATTTAGGCTGAGGTGATGCACTTCTATGGAAAGCTTGTCTTTCTTGCAGTAGTCAGCATGTGTTCTATTCTCTTCAGTCTCTAGGGAAATATAGTCTAATTTTCTCTAAAAATATTGAAATCAGAGCCAGATATCAAGTAGAATCAGATGTCATGACCCAAAAGAGAGAGTAAACAGATGCTATGGGGACATATGGCATACAAATTCTTTTCCACTGTGAATTCCCCGGTCACAGAATCACAGAATGGCCAGGGTTGGAAGGGGCCTCAAGGATCATGAATCTCCAACACCCCTGCCACATGCAGGGCCACCAATCTCCCCATTTAATACTACACCAGGCTGCTCAGGGCCCCATCCAATCTGGCCTTCAACACTTCTAGGGACCTGTCAAGCCAGCTTCTTAACTGTTTCACTATTTGTTCCTGTATTCAACATGTGGGGGAGTTAATTGCCATTTTTTTTTTTCTGTTTTAAAGGGACAGATGAATATTATTTACCATTTCAGAAGTGGGGGAAGTCTCCAACATCCTTTGCCTATCCCTAAGTTCTTTACTCTTGCAAGGATGTACTTATTCCTCTATTTTTCCTGTGCTCTATTTGTAATTATGTGATTGTGACTCACCTTACCCCAAAAATAAAGACCTCACTGATAAAGTGTGGGCATGCTTCCCTAGAAGTGAGAAATATGATAAGTGTAGACAGGCTAAACTACTTTCTAAATCACCCACTTCCATTGCATAGAAGACAGGTAGGTATATCTGAAAAAAACTGGGGGGAGGAGGAAAATACAAGAAACATGGGTACCAGGAACAATGTGCTCAAAGAGACAAATATTTATAAATATATTCTTATGGACTTGAATTAGGCCCTTCCAAACTTTCATGTCTGTAATTGTATATGTTCACAGTATAGAAAATGAGCAAGCAGAAAAGATCAAAGAATAGCACTAAAAAATGAAAGAGCTGAGGCAGTACTAGGGTGATGCAGAACAAGGAAGCGCTCCACTGACATGTCACTAGTTAGATATGGGAGAGAATAAGGATTTTAATAACTGCAAACAGAAATAACACCCACCAAGGAAACCTGGTGGAAAAAAAAATAAAAAAAAAAAAGAATGAGACATTTTTTGAAATAATCCCTTCAACTACAGCCACTTCTTTGTTCAAAAGCATTCAGGGAAGATCATATCAGTTGGCTGAGGAGCAAACACAAAAAAAAGAACCTACATCTAAGTCACCCAATCTGGAGCAGCAATTGAACTCCAACCTTTCTGGAGTAGAAAATTCACCCAAATGATTTGGTGAGATTTCTACTTTCCTTCAGAGTGAAATGCTGCCTCCACACAGTCATGGTAATCATCAAGCAGAACTATAACACCAACTGTAATGACACAGTGACCTTAGATCACCTAAGAAAGGTTATGGCCACAATCTAGTAATAAGAAAGGAACCACTCACTCCCTTCTGAGGATCTAGGCTCACTGAGCACTTCAAAGGAGATGATTTCCAAGCAGAGATATTTCCCTTGTGCCTGCCAGCCTTTCCGTGAAGTTAGGGAGGAGTGAAGCCAGAGTCCACCCCTTCTGGTCACACAGATGAATTGCTTCCTCCTGTGCTCCCAGGACTGGCTATGCCCCTTCACCAGGTGCTTAATCACTGGTTCAGGCTGTGACCTAACACTTCACATAAAGACGCATACATTAAAATGCAAAGCATGCCATATTCACCATGCTAGCTTACAAAGGCAAGAAAGGCAGGAAAATAACAAAAGGATGAAAGTATCCCAGAAAGCAAGAAAAGAAAGCACAAACCAGCAGAAAAAATATTGTATAGTTATGGCTTGAAATAAAAATTGATGCAGATAATATGTTCAGTGTATCTTCTATCATATACCATTCAGATTATTTACTCTGTCAGCACACTGAACGGCATACTGAAGTATATCAACCACATTGTAGTGAACAAATACCTCACAGATTATATCATATTTGTTTTTTATCTTCTGAAGCTACCAAGTTTCCAGAATCAAACTTTTGCCAACTAATCTTTTTTTGTTGTGTGTTTTTAATCAAGAACAATCAGTACATCTCTCTCTACAGGAGTTCATTTGTTATACTACAAAGAAAAAAAGAGAAAAGGTCTATTTTCCTATGTGACTTGCAAAAAAGAGTTTCCAAGGGGAGAAACCAGTTACAAAATTCAGCTTCAGAATAATCTCCCATGGTAAAAGGGTAAGCCACTCTGTGTCATGCTGCACTCAAGTAGTTAACAGTTAAGCACAATAGCCAAAACTATTCTCCCACACTCTTTTTCACACATGTACAAAGCTAAAACACTGACGAAATGTGGTTGTTTAAAACAGCAGAAAACACAAAAAATACCAGTACACCTTCATGCAAATCAGTGTACTTATCAGTAGTACTGCAAATGCTACACTGGGTTTTTTTTTTTTTTTTTTCAAATTTTTTTTAAAAGCATATAAAAATATATATCTAAAAAAAAAAAAAAAAGAAGCCTTTTTTTTTCTTTTCAACATGATTTTTCTATTATTTCCCTTACTTCATCCCACAGAAATAAGATGATTCTGTTTCTAAACAGAAGTCAAAAGACATCTTGGAAGCAAACTGTAGTTCTCAATGCCTTTCTGAGCAAACCTACATCTAAACACAATGTAAAAATTAACATTAATGATTATCTAAATTCTCAGGCTTCTAAATTTATTTTTTAAAGGTTCCAATCTCAAGACTATGCATTTCTAAAAAAGACCAACTCAAAATCTACTACAGCAACAGAACCTCAGCTGATGGACCTATTCTGAACTCAGTTTCCGGGGCAACATCTTAGAAAAAGTTTCTAGAGGTTTGGAAAATTAAATAGCTGTGAAACCCTTGGTCAGGAGAGCAGGATACTACACATAAGGAGCATCATTAAACTTTCACAAAGAAATAGCTACCACAAAATACAACTGTAAATATTTCCTTTAATACATGTTACACTCCTGGGCCATTCCTTCTCTCTCATCTTCATAAATAAAGCCCAACCATGTACATATTCCAAAGTATGCACACTTATGAGAATCAGCTGAAAGGATTCTGTGACAGATGCCATGTTGGTAATAAAGACAATTTAAGAACCTGCTCAATTTTAGATAAGAACACCTATAAAGCAAGCAGAATTTATGTCTGCATTCAGATGACACTCTTCAGGGATGGTGAATGAAAACAGCTGCAATTTCAGACCACTGTGACTCATCCCTTTTACACAGCAGTGCACACAGAACAATGGGTTGGTATCCAAAAATACAGAACTACTTCCAAGCAAACAGAGATAGCCACACACCTCTACTTTTTTTCTTTCACAAGTACACAAAATATTACCATCTCTTGCCATCAACTCCTAATCAGGTTTCAGAACTGGACACTTTCCACTCCCGAGAATGCCCTGCACAACTACAGTCCATTGACAGACTGAGTGAAATTTCTAGGTTTGCACTTAATACAGGTGAGAAACAGAATGAGAACATATTTTCCTGAATAGCAACAAAGTCTAGAAAGCTTCCATTTTGAAAGAAGTCATAAATATTTTCAGTTTCCTGACCATTTCAAGGGACAAAGTTTAGAAACACTCCACAAACCAGGTATTACAGAATTATTTAATAAATGTGTGAGAATTCATGAATTCCACTCCATTTGTTTAGCATATTTGGTAATCACTGGTTCAACTGAAATGCATGCAGTACTGTGAGGCGTTTCAAATCTCCCCAGTATTTTCCTATCCCCTCCAAGGGTAAGGCTTGTTACTGAAGAGTGGACTCCAAAACTTGCACAGTACAGATTTTTATGGTAATGAGGTCAGATAATTCTGGAGGGGCAAAAACAAGAGGAACAGAACTGCTAGGAAAATGCAGTCTACATAAACATCAACAGCAGTTTGAATTAGAAAACAAACAGACCTCACAGTTGATTCTTCAGTGGACATTAAACTAATGTGGATTACCACTCCTGAACAGTATACCAACATCCACAATGCTTAATTCAGGCATAAGCCTGAGTAAGTTGTGCCATTATTTGTAGCTGAAACAGAAACACAGTTGCACAGTTTTCCTTTTAAGGTGTAATTTCAGGAAGGGATGAGCAGTTTTTACTTCTTGACCAAAAAAAAGCTCTGTTCGTAATACAAAGAATTTGTGTAGAAAACATATTTCCAAATCACTTTCTCAGTACTATTTCAGTAAGTAGATCTTAATTCCCCTTTGCTGCAGAATTGTTCAAAGTTTGAGGTGACAAATAAACTTCAGAAAAAGACACTTTTTTCTTGGCTGGCATTTGATAGCGCACGTTTTTCCAGAATCTTGTATTTGCTGAACAAGATTTCTCTGAGAAATCTCCTTTCCACTGGATTGCCCCATGCTTTTGCTTAATATATCTGATTGACTCTGGCATGCTTGTGTAGTCCTGCATTCCATCCATTTCTATAAGAATCACTTGAGTCTCATCACGAATAAGAGCACTATACAAAGCTAATTGCTGTTCAGAGGCGTCTTCCAACTGGATGCAACTAAATGTTTCAGATCCCAAAATAATCATCAGTCTTCTGCTTTGCTTGAAGGTTTCATCAGCAATGCTGACCACAGCTGGAAGTAATGAAGCAACAATCAAAGTTTGTATAGAAAGTTTATTACAAACACAAAGTATTGCACCATCTTTAAATTGCATATATATAGAAGAGTGACTAGCTCACAGAACTGGAAGGTCTAAGATCTCCAACTGCCATAATCCATTGCACGAAATCACTGAACAAAAATGTTTCCTGCACTTCCCAGGAAGAATTATTATTCAAAAGACCTCAACAGTGTTAATAATAATAATAATAATAATAATTTTACAGAGTAGAGTTCTGATTTGCTTACCTTAGAAAGAAAGAGCAGATCCTACCATTATAACAGAACAGAAATTTGATTCAAAAACAACAAGAAAACTAGAAATAAGTTGGCCATCAGATAAGAGGTCTAATTTTCCATTAAAAACAAATAAAAAAGAACCTACAGTTTTTAATTTGGTTCATAATAATAAAAGTTTTCTCAGTAGTAAATATAATCTTTTAACCCTAGAGCAATGTGTAAAAAAGCAATGCATCAACTCTGCTAATTAAATCATACCTTCTCCTGGTAGGTCATCCCTTCCTAATATAAAGAGATTATATCCACACTGTTGCTCTAAAACGTTGGGGAGTATTCTAAGAACAAAGGTTTCCAGACGATAGAAGTTGCTGCCTTCACAGCCTTTTGTGTACAGGACACATGCATCATAGATTTTTCCATCTAATACAAACAAAAATATTTCTGTTAAAAACTAAAAACCATTCTATATTGCAAAGTTTCATTTTGGATTACTTAAAATATCACAGAATCACAGAATGGCCAGGGTTGGAAGGGACCTCAAGGATCATGAATCTCCAACCCCCTGCCACAGGCAGGACCACCAACCTCCACATTTAACACTAGACCAGGCTGCCCAGGGCCCCATCCAACCTGGCCTTGAACACCTCCAGGGACGGGGCATCCACAACCTCGCTGGGCAGCCTGTTCCAGCACCTCACCACTCTCTCTGTAAAGAACTTCCCCCTGACATCCAACCTAAATCTTCCCTCCCTCAACTTAAAATCGTTTTCCTTTGTCCTGCAGTTTTCTACCCTCTCAAGGAGTTGATTCCCCTCCTGTTTGTAGGCTCCCTTTAGGTACTGAAAGACTGCAATGAGGTCACCCCGCAGCCTTCTTTTCTCCAGGCTGAACAAGCCCAGCTCCCTCAGCCTGTCCTCATAGGGGAGGTGCTCCAGTCCCCTGATCGTCTTTGTGGCTCTCCTCTGGATCCTCTCCAACAGCTCCCTGTCTTTCTTGTACTGGGGCTCCAGACCTGGACGCAGTACTCCAGATGGGGCCTCACAAGAGCAGAGTAGAGGGCAACAATCACCTCCCTGTCCCTGCTGGCCACCCCTCTTCTGATGTTATAATAGTTGATTCATAGCTGTCTGGCAGAGTAACAGCGAAGCACTAAAATGCTCTACAGATTAAAAGAAAGAAGATGAGCCACAGAACCTGATCTCTTTTCCCATCATGGGGAGTAATGTGCCAGCAAGAGAGCTGGATGTAGGACCTTGGCGGCTGCAGAAAGGAGCCCCCAGACTGAGAGGAACCAACACATTCATAGTCACAGAATGGCCTGGGTTGAAAAGGACCTCAAAGACCATCTAGTTTCAATCCCCCTGCTATGGACAGGGTCAACAACCACTAGACCAGGCTGCCCAGAGCCAAACTTAGTAAGTTAAGTTTGGGACAAATTATAAAACATTGTTTCTTTGACCTATTTTTCATTAGAGAAATAGAGCAAGTTTTCTAGGAAAACTTGTCTTTTGTTAAAAGTTGAAATGACTCTCATGTGAAAACATTTCAAACTGCCATGAATAAATGTTAACTATATCAATGCACATAATCCGTTCACTTTTGAGCTCTTGGGAATTTGAGACAGTCTAATTCTGAGGGCTGCTCAAGCACAGTACATATTACGTTGCACTTATTTCCATCATTCACACCCATCCAATGTAGCAGTACAACTGCTACAGTAGAAAAACATTAAAAGTATCACAGAATAGAAAACTAGTAGAATGTAACCATCATAAGTTGCTGGATTTATATTTAAAGTTATGTGTAAAAGAGAAAAGTTGAAAGAGGAAAAAAAACACCTTGGCAAATGAAAGTTTCATTTTCAGTGTAAATATCTAATGTGCATTTTTCTACAGCTAGTCTACAGGATGTAGCTCTGCTGACACCTATTGACCACCATCAGTGTGGCCCTAAATCTACACACAAACAACTTTCTTTGGAAGAAATAGATGGTTCTTTTTGACCTTAACCTTTTTCTCACCTTAAGTGCCTTAAATATTATGTGTTAGGATTACATATTTCACCTATGTGAATGAAAAGATCTTTCCATAAGTATCTGAAACTTCTCAAAGAAATTCCAAATACATTCCATTAAATAATCATATCATTGGGAGTAATAGCAAATGGAAAAGAAAAAAAAAAAGAAATAAAAAGCAATAGGCTAGTTATACTGACATGCATTGATTACATGTGCATACCTTCCTTACTTACAAAGGCACATCCAGAATTACGATACCAAAGCACCAAGTCGATCTTGAAAATCTTATAGATGATCAGAATAATAAACGTTAACAGTAAGAAAGAGACAAACACTCCAGTCAGCCATCTTTGTACATCAGGAACTGCACAAAATATGGTAAGAGTAGAAAGAAAATGTTGGATTTGTCCAAATCTGACCTTTCACACAAATGTAATATACATTTGAGTATCACATTTTTCACTTCCACCTCACACTATTATTTTAATAGAGAAATACACTACTACAGTGACTCTTCCCCTCAACACATCTACATGCTTAAATACAGGAAAGTGTAATCCATGCACCTTCTATTGATGTGATATACGAGCATTTGGAACCAATACCACAATACTTCTACAAAAGCCAAGTCAACCACAAGCCAGAAAAAACAGCATTGTTCCTTACCTCTGTGTTTTAATATAATATAGGATGCAACCTGTCCAAAGGCATTTGAAGCTTGACAGATGAATGGTTGTTCATAATCTTCACTATACACTTCTGAAATTATGAGCTTCACAGAATACATAGGGCGTCCATCGTAAGCAGTTTCCTCGCTATCCAAAAAGTGACAAACAGAGCCATAAAACCACTCCTTTCTATAAAGGTTTCATCACTAACAGGTGCAACATAACAATGGTCATTTCCATCTGCAAATACCAATCACACTTCAGAACAGATGAATAATTGCATTATGTGAGGGAAACCCAATGGTCTCTATGGGCTACAGTACAAAAAACATATCTTACAGAGATATGCAAACCCAACTTGCAGGGGGTTCTCAGTATCTGTAAAAGTACGTGGAGCACCCCAGTGCTTGGTGGAAGAGAAGTTCCACAATCTGAAATGCTTAAAAAAAGAAGCCCCAGTACAGGGGCAGAAAAAATGCTAATTTTGCTGCACATTCACTGAGTAATCTGCACTGTGTCTCATGTCTGATGTGCAAAATACTTTTTAACCAGCACCAAACGAGGGATGTTACTACCTCATTAACAGTACAGCTCATATGCAAAATTAACTAACTAGTCTACTTAGCCAACTGCTTTTCTTCTCCAAAAATGTACTCTATTACCATTAAAAATGCAAAGTAAAAGTTTGAAATAAATCATAAAGAGCATATATAGAGCATATATAAGATCACATAAAACAACGTGTAAGCAACAGGTCACACGTTGTGACCTGTTGTATCACAAGGAGCTACAAGATATGATTTAGTGGCTTGCGGTAGCAACGGTAATGGGAGGATGCCAGATGATCTTGTAGGTCCTGTCCAAACTTGTGGTTCTATGGTTCTCTGATTCTAGGTCATAGTAGTTTGAACATTAGAATAGGGAGTAAATGAATCAACATCGTTAATACAAATGACTAGACCCAGAAAATACTACGGCTACAAATACAATAAGACAATATTTTAAGTACTAATATAATTATGATAATATTGTAAGACAATCATTTAAGTGCTAGGAAATAATAAAAAAAAAACATTGTTTTTATGATACCATCAGTGACTGCATGCCTCTGCATAATAGCCCAACTGTTTATAACATTTATAGGGTTATAACATGTTATAGGGTTATACATATAACATGTATAGGGTTTTCTCTCAGCGAGTATTAAAAGAATTCAGCATTTTATTTCCCCTTTTGTTTTATGATGAGGACTTATTTATTTCTACGAACCATAATCTTACGTTGAAGATACCATTCACATTTCTCCCTCATCGATGCTGCTTGAAAACTTTTATAAAGTGCTCATATTTTTCCTTCATAGTATCACCAGGAGACAAGGGCTGACAAAAGCTATAGTTTTCAGTTCCTTGGTTCCCAACCACTGATACCTTTTCAGATTGCCTTCTGCTCCAACTGTAAATTGTCTTTTCCAAGTCAAGTCTAATTCCTTTCCCTCCTAGCTCTGCTTAAACTACCTTTCATCCTCACATTATCTCCCAGTTGCTTTATGCAGTTCATGTCCTCCAAGTCTTCCTCCTAAATCCCGACCCATCACTGGAAATATCTCATCCTTTTCTCCTCTCAATCCACTAAGCTTCAGTACAAATGTCCTCAACAAAGTCTTCTATTAGCTCTCCATCTAATCTCAGTTACACTTCCCTATCTCAAGGCTCTTAAAACTAGAAGTCTAAAGTTCTCCTGCAAAGCACAGGTTCCACCTCTTACAGCCTCCCAGACAGACAGCTGGGAAAAAAAAGGAGAACATAGGAGACAGTCTGAACCTCACATGTTCAGTCTCACTTGAAAGAAGTCTCTGCCAGTCTAGAGCTTGCTCAGTAGAAACAGCATTATAGTTATGAGACCATAAGCCTCTACAGAATACCTTTTTCCATGGCTGGAAATTTAGATAGATTTTTATAATGACTCTAAGAAGCCCAATTTCATGCATCCATGCACCTACTATGTTTCAAGTTTCTACTTCAAAAAGAAAATGAATTGGTAGAGGTAAGCATTGACATGAGTCAGAGGGAGAGATTTCCACTTTTGTTGCCAACCCAGTATTTTCTAATCTGAAAATGTACTTACTTATTGGGCTTTGCAAAAATTCTGCTCACATAAAACACATCAATATACACACCGTTGCCTGTCCAAAACACCTCAAACCCATCAGCACCAGTTGTATTGCAATCCACTGTGACCAGTGAACCTATAAAATTGTGTTACAAAGTGAAAAGTTAATTTTCATGCTCTAATTAGAAGCTATGCAATTCTGTTTATAGACCCCCACTCAGACCACAGGATGGTCCCACAGCCTTCCAGAAAAGTTTCTCTAACAGAGTGTCTATCCATTCAATAATCTGCATGTTCAAAGAGACTGATACTACAGAAGCCAAATCAGGGGCACAGCATCTCCCTCTACAGAGTCACTTTTCCCTGAAGTTTTTCTGCAACTTTGGAAGGAATACTCCTTGCCTCCTTCCTTCCCACCATGAAACAATCTTCCTTTGAGAAAGTAATGCAAAGGAGAAACCGAGCTGGTCACTGAATTAGTTTTTGCCCAGAGAAAACAAACACACAATGTGGCACTCTTCTTGAGCAAGAATTTTCACTAGGATACAAAATAATATTTTCTTATAGTGAAAAGTACTTACCAAGTTCCACTTCAATTGAGTTGTTCTGTGGATAAGATATTTCTGGGGGCATTTTTGGTGGGCTCACTAACCAAAAGAAAGAAAGTTATTTTCAGAAAAGCAGGAGTGATTGCACCCTGTTAATGCTGCACAACCCAAGGGCAACCTAAACACATCTTGCCCTACAGACAGGGTTGTCAGCAATTTTACTACAGACATCATTCGATATTCAAATCAAGAGTTTTGAAGATAGTCTTGTTACTTCTGAGTAGAAGCTCTGTCAGATATCTATAGGACATTCTGGAATATTTCTTATCAGATATTGAAAGCTCAAGGAAACTTCTCTATGCACACACATCAACAAGAAAGTCATAAAGCATCCTGATGTGAAACACAGATTGCCACAGATACACCCTTCCCTGCCACAGATACATCCCTCCCTTCCTCCTCTTATAACTGTGTCTGTGTTATTAATTGGACCACAAATCACCCATTTTAGTGCAAACTTGCTCAGCTGAAGTCTTTGAGCAACTGAGATGCTTTCAGGCATTAACAGCAAAATTATATGTTTGAGTTATATGACTGCTTTAGTGAGCTGCTGAAGCTGAAACTACACTGAGAGAGAAGTCTAAAGGGCAGGTTTTAAAAAACAGCCAGCCATAAGTCAGTCACTTCTGGCTATCTATTCCTCATATTTTGTTTATTCACATCATATAAACATGACATTTATATCACATATTCACAACACAAATATAGATACATATATATGTAAACATACATACACATACAGAGAAAACATGCACACACAAAAACCAGAACATCAGATGGGAAAGCAATAGATGAGTAGACCTGAAAATGTGTTTCAGTGGGAATGTAAAAAACTATACAAAAAATGAAGGGCATAGAACACATTAAACCAAGATATCACTACAGTTTGTCTTGGTTTAACTGGTTGCTCTTGTGGTAAGGGGATGATGTAAAAGAGAGAGAAGTAAGATGGGCAGGATAGAGCAGGTGTAATGGGACCCATTTAGGGACCTCAGCAGCTGGCCCATTAACCAAAGCATTGATGTACTGCAATTCTGATCCCACTATTCTATCACCAACACAGTAACAACAGAAAAACTTCAGCAAGCATTTCTTTTCATCTAAGTAAGGGGGAAAGCAATAGCCTACAGCTTACCTATACACAAATTGAATTTTTAGCTGCAATTAGAAACCTGGACAAAATTGTGGAGAGTCACAGTGAATTTATCTACTTACCTTCTACAATCAATCTTATGTCTCGTGCAATGTCATATTGCTTTCCATCATAGGTATATGTTGTTTTGCATGTATAGTTTCCTTGATCTTGCACAGTCACATTGAAAATCACAAGGTCACTGTTTAAGAAGGCAAATCTTTTTCCTTCCAGTAGCTGACAGTCCTAAACATACAAAGAACTCCATTAATTCATGTCACTTTCCATAGTTTGTCTCTCTTTAACATATCAAACTCTCAGTGGCCCACAACATAGGGACGGATGCCTTGTGGAGTGGGAGGAAGAGGAAGAGGGCTGGAATCAAAAGGAAAACACGCTTTGTTTTGGCTCTTAGTTTTCAATTCACAGATATACCTATACATTTCCTACAGAAAAAAAAAAATGAGAGATGTAAGGAAATGTGATATAAGGGCCAGGATTTTAAAAGTATTAATTGACAAAGAATTACTCAATAATTAAAGTTTATTTTTTCAAGTACTTAAATACAGTACCTTAAGGACTGCACAAGCACAAGAAGAAGGCAATACATTCTTAACAGAACAAGACTTTAAATACTTACGAACCACATGAAATAACATTTATTTGATGGAGCAATACTGAATGCACAGTGGATACGCTGTCCCTCACAAATTACATACTAAATCCATTTCCAAACAAAAGAAATGGATGTTTTGCTAGCACGTATAAAGGTGCCATCTAGTGGATATACGGGTTAACATTTCCTACATTTAAACTGAATTTCTACTCTGCTACTGAAAAAAAAAACTGTATACACCTTTACAAGGTGAAATGCCTTAATTCCCTCATCCAATTTTTTTTTAAAGCTTTTTTTCTTTAACATTTATAATAAATCTGTAGTTTTTCTACTACAATTCATAAACATCAGTTACTTGTATTTTAAATAACTGACCACTGTGACAGTTCTAATCACTGGAACAGGTTGCCCAAGGAGGCAGTGGATGCCCCATCCCTGGAGGCATTCAAGGCCAGGCTGGATGTGGCTCTGGGCAGCCTGGTCTGGTGGTTGGTGACCCTGCACATAGCAGGGGGTTGAAACTAGATGATCATTGTGTTCTTTTCAACCCAGGCCATTCTATGATTCTGTGATAAAACGGGCTGTTTTTACCTTATACCAATGAACAGGTAGAATATTTTCCTCATTCCTGAAGTGATCCAAGTGTGGACACACAAGCTTTGCAGATGATGAAGTGAATACCACCTCCTCTACAGCAAATTTTTCATTTAAGCATAAGCCATTGGTCCTCTCAAAAACTGTTACTTCTGTAGACATTTTGCTGCAGCTTGTCAAATTCCTGCAACTAATATAACATAATTAAATTAAATTAGATACTTGACATATTTTCCAACTTGAAAATACACAGTATTCTTTTTGGAGAAGAAAGAGAGGACCAGAACTGTACAAATCCTTTTACAAGTTTTACCAAGTAGAGAAAAAGAAAAAAGCACTTCCATTCCCCAACATAAAGTCAGTTTTAGTGAAAATACTCTCTCAAATAGCATTTCTCTTGCCCCCAAGCCCTATTTTCTTTCTGAAAGTTATTCTCTTTGCAACACATTTCTATAGCAATGTAATTTTTTTAACCTTCACCTTATGACACATTCATAATTTCCAGAATCTTCTAATATTGCAGGGAGAAACCAAATTAAACTCTTCTGCTGATGAATTCTAGAAAGTTTGTCTCTAGGCACTGCAGTTTGGTTACCAACTTTATACCATGTTAAGTTGCAGTCTCCACTTTTAAAATTGAAGCTCTTTTCCAGTGAACATTTAATAACAAGAGGCTGCCCATCAGGCACAAGACTATGCTTGAACATCACATCATAAGCTCCGCATTTCTCTAAGGGAAAGAGATAAACATTAAAGAAAATCTCAAACAATGTGAAACAAAACACTGAACTTGCTTCTTGATCATACTTGCAAAGTGCATTGAGTTTCCACCTTCATTCTTGAGTCATCTAACAATACTGTCTCAACCTTGTGTCTTCGGAGTTCAAAGCATTATTGAATAACATACTGATATAGTTACGCCATTGAAATGAAATGCTGTTTTCTGAATATAAACTTCACACTCAACAGGATCTCTTTGTTTGCATAGACTATCATTTGTCTGCTTTATTTCAGATGCATATGATTAAGGTACTCATATTTCTCCAGGCTGTTCCAAGAACACACACATGTGGATGCACAAATTTCACATTCAGTGTCTTTATTTATTACTTTCACTTATCTATAGTTGAAGTAAATCCTGCAGTACTCAGATATCCTAAGGGGACACAGAAAGTTAAAGTTCTAGTTGCACAAATCACATAATCACAGAATGGCCAGGGTTGGAAGGGACCTCAAGGATCATGAATCTCCAACCCCCCTGCCACATGCAGGGCCACCAACCTCCACGTTTAATGCTCAACCAGGCTGCCCAGGGCCCCATCCAACCTGGCCTTGAACACCTCCAAGAATGGGGCATCCACAACCTCTCTGGGCAGCCTGTTCCAGTACCTCCACTCTCTGGGTAAAGAATTTCCCCCTGATGTTCGACCTAAATCTTCCCTCCCTCAACTTAAAACCATTTCCCCTCGTCCTACACATATCAACCCTTTCAAAGAGTTGATTCCCCTCCCTTCTGTAGGCTCCCTTTAGGTACTGAAAGGCTGCAAATATTAAACTTGCAAAGAAAATTTCAACTCACCCCTTGCTTCATGAGAAATTATTCAAATGCTTAGCAATGAACTCATTTTCTTTCCCTGAATCCAGGAAGATTTACAAGGGAAAAAGAAACACCAGGAGTTTTTGTCAGTACAATGAAAATAGGCACCAACTGTGGATATACTGATCACATTCCAGAGTCAGTACTCTCACTTCATTACAATAGAAGAACAACCAGACATGGCCATCAAAGTTTTTGTGCAGCCCAAAATTCTTGCCTTCTAACATTTCACTGGAAATCATGCATTTCTTGTTATGAGAAATGGCAACCTAAGCATTCCCTTATTTGCCTTCTCTGTAGTATTAATTATTTTTCAAACCTCTATCAGATACCGCATCTTTACCTCAGACTCTTCATTTATTTAATGACATCTCATACAGAGGCCATCCACTTCAAAGAATATTGTCATTCATCTCTTTACTTCCTCTTAACATAATCTTTCTGAGATGGAATAATCAGAATTGTAGTTTAATTGCTGCACATTAACTATGGTGTTATCCTGTAGCATAAAAAAGCTTCACTTTCTACTCTTTCCCAAGAATTCTGGTTTTCTTTTTCTTTTCACCATCAGTGAAGATAGAGCTAATGCTTCCAGAGAGTGTTCATACATGTCGAAGTACCATTCTCCTCAACTACTTCTATCAGTACCTGAAGGGGGCTGACAGAAAAGCTGGGGAGGGACTTTTTACAATGACATGTAGCAACAGGATGAAGGGAAATGGTTTTAAATTGGAAGAGAGTAGATTTAAACTAGATATTAGGAAGGAATTCTTTACTGTGAGGGTGGTGAGACAGTGGAACAGGTTCTCCAGTGAGGTTGCAGATGCCCCCTCCCTGAAAGTATTCAAGGCCAGGCTGGATGGGGCTTTGAGCAACCTGGTCTGAGGTGTCACTGCCTATAGCAGGGGGTTGAAACTAGATGATCTTAAAGGTCTCTTTCAACCCAAACCATTCTATGATTCTAAGAAGATCAGAATTACAATTCCTTTAATCAGTTCATACACCAGAAGGTTACATTGTCATTCAGAGGAATCTCAACAGGCTGGAGATATGGGCTCAGAGAAAACCTCATGGAAATTTAACAAAGGGAAATGCAAAGTTTTGCACATGAGGAGAAATCCCCCAGGCACCAGCACACACTGGAGACTACCCAGGAAAGCAGCTGACCATAAGCCAGCAACACTCCATTACAGTAAAGGTGGCTTAAAGGTGTCCTGAGCTGCATTAGGAAGAGCATCATCCACAGGACAAAGGAGACCAATCTTCCCTCATTCAGCACTGGTGAGACAAATCTGGAGTGGGACTTCCTCGCATAAGACATGGTTTTACTGGAGTGAATGCAGCTCAGGGCCACCCAGATTATTAGGAGAGCGGAACTCTTTCAGACAAAGGCAGGCTGAGAGAGCTGGAACTGTTCAGCCTGGAGAAGATCATCAGTAGCGGGACAGATCCTTATCAATGTGCAAATGTATACCTCTGATGAAAGAGAATGAAGAAGAGGGAGCCAGATCCTTCACAGCAGTGCCCCCTGACAGGACAAGATACAAGGGGCTTACATTGTGAGATTCCATCTGAACACAAGAAAACTTTTTTTTTTTTTAAACAGAGAGGTTGATCAAATACTGTGGAGACACTCATGGCCCTGGACAGCTGCTGTGGTCATCGTTCTTTGAGCAACTAGGTTGAATTAAATGTTCTCAAGAGGTGTCTTCCAACTTAAGTGTTATGTAGTTGCTACACATAATGTCACATTTTACATGTTTTATAGGCTTCTGCTTTCAGAACTATTTAAAAAACCTCACTGACATGCACAACCATTTGTACAAAACAAACAAACAAACAACAAAACAGTATTACTTGTGTGAAAAATTAAATTTCAGAATAAGACATTCTGTAGTCACCAATTAACTCACCTGCAATAATTAAAGAAAGAAATGCTGTTGTGATCTTACAGGAAAGTATTTTTGCTGTCATGTTTCCCTACAGAAAAGGAAAGAAACTCTTAAAGTGGTGCTTTCCAAGATAAACTTCTACAGATGAAAATCCACACATGCATTGCAGTTTCTACTACCAATTTGGTGTCTTTTATAAACTGTACTTTTCTTACACTAGGTTTTCAACATCAGTTACATAGTAAAAGGAGCTATCTGCCTTACAGGAAAACACAATCACCTCCAGGATTAAAAAGCAACAATTACAGAGCCATCCCACTACGAAACATGTATTTTCTTAGAACTGGAAAGCTAACTTCTGACTGAACATAAAGGGGAAGTATATGTAAGAACATCTGTGCCAACAAGATCAAAGCCCCCTCTTAAAGCAGCATTCTGTGTCAAGTTGTGGTCAATAGCAGATGACTTGAGAACAAAAGTGCAAAAGAATGAGAATATACAGACATTCCTCTCAGTCTCCCTCACTTCATCAATTTATGACATTGCAGTTAGTTTCTCAATAGCTGGTAGCCCTCAGTAGATTCTTTCCCAAGAATGTTGTGTAACACCCTCTGAGCTCAGAAACATCCTTTGGCAAAGAACCCTGAAGTTCATATACTGACACAGAAAACACATGAATAGCCTTTGCTTATTTGGAGCATGTTACCTGCTCATCTCACCTGACAGCCCCCATTTATTGTACTAGAAGAATGAAGAAAAAAAAATGAGTGAATATTTTCTATTGTGCATGTCAGACACTTGGGATTTTGTACATCTCCAGTAAGCTTCTCCCCAGTTCTTGTTTCCCTGGGCTCATCTCAGTCTCTTTAACTGACCCTTAGATGGAACCTGATTTCACACTTCTGGTCATCTTTACCATTCTCTTCTGTATCTCCCTGGAGATCTCCAGAAGCCACCTGGATGTAGGCCTGGGCACTCTAATGTGGGTAGCCTAGCTGAAGCAGAGGTTGGACGAGGTGACCACCAGAACTCCTTCCCCACCTCAACTATTTCCAGTTCTCCAGGTACACCACAGCTTGTCTGAGAGGAGGAAGGGAGACCAGAAATGGCATCCAGTCTTCAAAATATTTGTGCAGTACAGATCAATAAAGCAAATCTATGATGTATTCTATACTACTTCATAATAATTTATCAACACTTTTGCTAGTTCCATTTTCACAAGTTTCCACACAGCTACCTGCTGCAGATACCTATTTTTTTTTTACACGACTATAAAAGCAAAAACGCAGTCATTCAAATTGAAGAACAATCTGGATAATCCTGTCCTATTAAAAATCTTCACCAGCTATCACCAGCTAAAGATGACACTTCCAGCTGCTGTGTCTTTCTTCACAAAACTGACTCAGGAGCATGCCACACATTGAGTCATACTCACTGCTTCTTGCAGTGCCTGCTTTCCTTCTTCCCCTTCTTTTCCCTACCTCCTCGCTGCAAATTTCTGCTCTAATTACCAGGCACGTCATTTCTTGCTTAGCTCATAAGGAGGGGTGTCGTCCCTCAAAAGAATGCTGAACATAACAAGAAACACACTAGGCTGCAAATCGCTAGAGGGAGTTCACGTGTGTTTGTACAAAAGCTTCAACTTTCTTCACGAATTGTAATGGACAATAATCCTTAGATTTTCTATACTTAAATTTTAAAGAAGATGACCATGCTTTGATGGAAACAGGTTAAAGAGAAATTAGGACTGAATTGACTTCAGTAATGACCAGGTATTGTCTTTATAACTTTTTCATGATCAGCTCTTCAAAAGTTCTGTTTATTACTGTGTTACTTTACTTTATCATTCTTCCTCAAATTCTTTCCCAAGCAGTTTTTTGCCCTGAAGAGTGGACAGGGAAACTATCCAAAAGTAATATTTTTCCATGTTCTGAAGAACTATTCTTCAGAATCTATTTCTCTATAAATTCTGTTTCTTTCTAAACACTCCAATTTTTAACTTATCTTGTTGCCAAAACAGAATTGCTGCAAATACATAGCACTATGTAAAACCAGTCAAATGAACTCTTCTGAGGAGACCCACATGTGTATCTGACTTTTCATGAAGAAAAAAAAATCATATATGTGGAAGTTACAAATGACAAGAAAACTAGGCTCTGCTCTGTATATCTCTTTGCATAACTCATAATGAAAATAATAAACTATGACTGCAGAGTCAAGTGAAAATGCTTTACCCACCATATTCTGCCATGACAAAGAGATAAATTTCTTCCTTTTCTCAGCCATTTTGTCCACATCTTGATCCTGCAATTGACCTATACAGCTTTACTGTTCAGGACAGCATCAGTTGGTGCTGCCTTTGCCCAAATTTTCCAGAGGAGAAAAAACTCCTTGTATCCAAGGCCATGCCCACAGAGTTTCAGCCTGGAAGAAAAAAATCTCATCAGTTGAGGCAAAGAGAGGGAAAGAAAGGTCTCTGTTGATACATGCAACTGAATTACAATGACAGCATACATGACAACACATGTAAAGCAAAATTTTCATAAAAATCTGAGACTAAGTTAGTATAGCCACCTGTTCCTCTGCTGTTTAGTGCTTTCAAAGTTGATCTGCTCAATGAAAAAAGAACGAAGGAAAAAAAAAAAAGAAGCAAGACACCTAGTTTCATTAGAACTTTGGCTCACAGGAATTGCTGCACACTTAAGGTACTTCGACTGCCTTATTCAAACACGTGGATGGATTAAAATGTGCAACAGTCCACAACCCCTTGGCAGCCTGTTTTGGTGTCTGTCACCTTTACCATGAAGAAGTTCTTATGCACATTTGTGTGGAGCTTCTTATGCTTCAGTTTGTGGCCGCTTCCCCTTTTCCTATTACCACACACCACTGAAAAGAAATTGGCCACGTCCCTTTGCCTCCCTCACCTTAGATATTTATAGACATTGATCAGATCCCCTCTGTTTTCTTTTCTCAAGGCTGACCAGACCCCTATCTGGGAGATGCTCCAGGCCTTTTATCATATTTGCGGTGCTTTGCTGGACTCTCTCCAGGAGATCCATGTCTTTTTTGTACTGGGAAGCCCAGAACTGAACACAATGCCTCCAGGTGAGTCCTCATCAGGGCAGAGTAGAGAACTAACAGACATTTCTTTTACATAAATCATTCAACATGTGTACCTTATCCGCTTCTCTTGACTACTTGACTGCTGTGAGTCTTCACAAGAGCTTATCAAGCCTCTCCCCTCTAATACAGGAAAAACAGTCGTGACATACCCCTGCGTTCCTTCCCCACTGTTACACACACGAGCTGTCTCAGCACCCCTATACGGAGCCAGTTACAGAACTGAGGGTCTCACCCCCATCTACTTTTAGCCGTTATTCCATGAACCACCGACACCCCATTACCACACGTGGATCTAAAACAACCCAGATCGGGATAGCAGCTTCCCTCCCGCCCAGCGCAATGACAGATTCCCACCTCGAAAAAGCCCTTCGGCTGAAGCCCCGCAGCTACCTACCTTCCGCTGGGCTCCCGGCCCTGCCGTACGGAGCTGATAGAGGCGGAAAAGCCCCGTGTCGCGGCAGCAGGAGCCGGAGAAACCTCCCGTACCCTGGCTGCGCTGGTGAGGCGGCCCCGCGCCAGCTCTGTTTCCCTCCCCTCCCCGCCCGGCGTGCGATTGCCTCAGCTGCGATCTCAACAAGCCATCACTCGTTGATTTGCTTTCGATTTTTTTCTTTTCTTTTCTTTCTTTCTTTATTTATTCAGAGCTTACTAAGCTTGCTGCCCTGGGAGCGCTGCACCAGTGTTCTTCGGTTCT